TGCCCTGAAAGCATTTTCACTGCTCCCTTTCTCCTTTTTATTCTCTGACTACTGGGTATCCAAACCTTCCCACCTGATATATTCAATTTTTTCTGATGTAATGTTAGAAATCCCACCAAATGGTGGAAAGATCTGGGTTAAAATTGTGTTAGTCTTGGTACCTTGCCTGTCTTTTGCCCTCAGCCATAATTCCTGTGAATCCCAAATTTTTTTGAGGAGTACTTATGGCAAAGTCAGGCAGCTGAAAAAAAAATTTGGTGTTACATTTTAAAGTTGATTGTTTCAGGGAGAAAGCAAAGAGCATTTAATAAGTATTGAAAACAGAGTTTCCCTTTAATCTTGGTTCTCTGATTAAAAGCACCAGCATGGTTTGCAGTTATTTTTAACAGTTAAGTTTTTGGGTATTTTAAGTACAGGTAAATGAGCAAAAATACACCCAATATATAAAAATGGGTTTTGTGTATTTTGTCCATACCTGAGCACAAGACTCAGCTCTTTTTTAGAAGTTATTGTCCATTTTTAATAATAATAATAATAATAATAATAATAATAATAATAATAATAATAATAATAATAATACAAACATTCATTTAATAACTAAACCAGCAGTACTTTCTGTGCTTGTCAGATCACACACATTACTTTGAAAGAACTGCATCTGGCCACGAACAATTAATGGGAATATTGCAGATTTTCCTTTTCTGTTTTGGGAGTGGGGAAAAATGCGTGTGGACAAGGGGAAGGGTGTTTCTGGATGGATTTTCTTTTCCATGCCATAAAAAATACGACAGAAATGATCCTCCCCCAGACGTGCAGCGGCACGCTGGGTTCCAGCCAGGCTGACTGCACGTCTTTGGCTGCTGCACAAAGACCTCCTTCACCTGCTCCTGCCTCCATTCCTCATCCTCCACATTCCCTTTGTCATTTCCCTGTCCCTGAGCAAATAGGAGTGTTGGTACAGGTTTAGAGAGCCCGGTTATTAATGTGTTTATGGACAGCCTGGCACCAGCCAGGCCTTTGATGGCTTTCTCAGAGGAATTAGTGGCTCTGCTCTCCTGCTGGCACTCACCTGCAGGCACAGGAGGAAGGGAGGGGGCCCACACTCGGCACACTTCACGTAGGGCTCCGTGAGGTACGAGGAGCAGCCTCGGCATGGGGGCTTGTCAAAGGGGTCATCTGGGAAAGCAGAGGAAAGCCTCGTGTAACACAAGCCAGGCACTGCTTTGGCACCACCTAAATTCTCTTGTGCCCAGCCCCAGGAGCTGTGGGCCCCTCTCAGCTTGGTGAATTCTATCAATTTTCAGTGTACAATCTCTTCCCCACTGCAGCTTCTGCAAATATGTTAAATATTCCTCGTTCAGCATGAGTTGCAACAGAGGTGTTGGCACTGCCTCTCTGCCAGACCTGAAACACTGAGGGCTAAACCCAAACTTGGGCAACGGACCCAAAGGAAAATCTCCTGTGCAGCAGCCTCCTGGTACAGCTCAGCAATGCTGCACCAGCTGCCTGGTTTGATCCTGTGCTCATCTTCTGCATCAAAGACCAGAGCCCAGACCTTCTCTGCAGAGAATTCTGCCCAGCAGCTGCGCTCCTCATCCACGTGCCTCGAGCTGCACTCACAGAGCACATTGCTGAGGCTGCAAAGGCATTGACAGGATTGTTGTAACCCATCCAAACCTCAGGCTCTGCTCAGGTTCTCAATGAGGAATGAAAATGCCCTGCGAGTTTTTCTGATTTTGTTCGTGGCAAAGTGGTCAAAATAAACAGGCTGTCAGGTTATAATGGCTTCAAACTTACAGAGAGCAGGGCTCGATTTGATCCTGGGAAGAAATTCTCCCCTGTGAGGGTGGGCAGGCCCTGGCACAGGTTGCCCAGAGAAGCTGTGGCTGCCCCATCCCTGGAAGTGTCCAAGGCCAGGTTGGACGGGGCTTGGAGCAACCTGGGCTGGTGGAAGGTGTCCCTGCCCAGGGAAGGGGGTGGAACTCGATGAGAGCTTTAAGGTCCCTTCCAACCCAAACCATTCCAGGATTCCATGACTCTATGACTTTTTTCCAAGAAAATGGGTTTGGACCAGCTCAAGTATTAGAAGTAGGTAGAAAAAAAGAGCCAAATTCCCACTGAATCACTTGAGTCCTTGTGCTCTTGAGAATTTGGACAAAAGTGATTCTGTGGACCAAATCCTGCTGGTTTCTGTCCCCCTCCCCCATGGCTGCTGATTTCTTAAAACAATGGCAAACCCTTTCCAAATGTCATGGAATCACAGAATTATTTGGGTTGGAAAAGCCCTTTGAGTTGAGTCCAACCACTAACCCAGCACTGCCGTTTTCACCACTAAACCACATCCCCAGGTGCCACATCCACACATTTTTTGAACACTTGCAGGGGTGGTGATCACAAAATCCCACAGCTCTGAGAAATCCTTGTGCCTGCTTTTCTGTGAGCGGATGCAGGAGGTTAATTCTCTGCTGGCACTTACTGCTGAAGGAGGCCAGGCGCTCCATTGCTGCCCTGGGTGCTGCTCCTGCTCCTGGGAGTAAAACCTGTCCTGCCCAAACACCCAGAGAGTGTGAGCCTTGTCCCAGCCACGGTGCCCAAAGGGAATTCTCTTCCGCAGCCCCCCCGGGTGCGACCCTCCCAGGAGATCCTGAACAGAGAGCAAAAGGGCTGACACAGCCTCCAGACACCCCATATCCCAATCCCACTCCCCATATTGCAGCCCCACATCCCATATCCCAATCCCACACCCCATATCCC